CTCCGACAGACCATCCTCATACTAGTTTTGTTGACGAAGTTCCATAGATAGCAGTATATACGGACCCTCGAAACAACCCCTATAGACCCGAAACCTGCTTTAAAGCCCTCACCCTTTTTGAGCGACCCTAAACCCTAAACCCTAAACCCTAAACCCTAAACCCTAAACCCTAAACCCTAAACCCTAAACCCTAAACCCTAAACCCTAAACCCTCACCCTTTTATCGCAAAACCTAAGGTCTCGTCTCCTTCAATTCCGTCCTTAGCTCGGCCGAGAGGGCGGGGCAGTGGCAGGCGGCCGTCTTCCTTTTTGGCGAGATGGCAGAGACCCCCAGACTGAGTTCTAGGATTTAGGGGGTTTTTGGGTTCTAGGGTTTTAGGGTTTTAGGGCTTTAAGGTTTTAGGACTTTAGGATTTTGGTTTTTAGGGCTTTAGGGTTTTAGGGTTTTTAGGGCTTTAGGGCTTTAGGGTTTTAGGGTTTAAAGGCTCCTTTAAAGGTTCCTTTAGGGGATATATCGACTGAGGGTTTAGGGGTTCCTTTAATGGGTTTAGGAGTTTAGGGTTTAGGGTTTAGGGTTCCTTTAAGGGATATATCGACTGAGAGTTTAGGGGCTCCTTTTAAAGGTTCCTTTAAGGGATCCTGTGAGGGTTCGTTTATATGGAATGGGGGTTTAGGGCCTGGGGGATCCTTTAGTTCAAGGGATCCTTTAAGGGATCCTGTGAGGGGTCCTTGATATGGACTGAGGGTTTGGGGGGATCCTTTACGGACTCCTTTCAGGCTTCCTTTAAGGGATCCCTTGAGGGCTCCTCTTTATGGTTTTTTGAGCGAAATGGCTCTGGCAAAAGCATCTATCAGCGTTCTATGAGGGTTTAGGAACTTCAGAGTTTTGGGGTTTAGGGTCTAGGAGTTTAGAAACCCTACACCCTGAACCCTAAACCGCATAAGGCTTGGGGCTATGGTCCAAAACCCTAAAAAACCTAAACCCTGCACCCTGAACACTAAACCCTAAACCCTAAACCCTACACCCTGAACCCCAAAGCGTATAAGGTTTAGGGCTAGGGTTTGGGGCTTTTTGGGGCATGAAGGTGGGATCGGACTGCTTTGTAGCACTACTCCTCGAAAGTCCTTACCGAATCAACTGCGGTTGATGAGACAAACCCAGCAATACCCATAATAAGGAATATCCCATAGTTCTCATAGTTTAGAGTCCTTAAGGCAAATGCAGGGTTGATCTCATCAAGCGTATAATGTACACCCCAAACTGCCCCAAACCCTGTTTACGTACGAAAGGCCCTTACCTTGTCGGGTATCTCCAGGCTACCGGTCTAGTGCTTGAGGCTCGGAGCTTGGCTTTCAGGGTGGATGGTTTCAGGGTGTAGGGTTTAGGGTTTAGGGGTTTAAGCGTTTAGGGTTTAAGGTTTATATACCTAGGCCTTGAAACTTAGTACATCGTCTTCGTTACCTTAGTCTCTTGTTTTGGGACACTTGGCGAGGAAACAGGCTTCCCCCGAAAAGGTACTACAGAGTTTTGCTTTGAGGCAACCGCCAGTGCTTGATTGGTCATACACTGAATCAGCTAGGGTCTGTAATTAAAAGGTTCCCCGTCGACATAGGCCCAGCTCTGTCCGATATCCCTCCGTGAGCAGACAAGGAATGCACTTCTACCGGACACCATCAGCTTCAATGCCGCTGCTGGGTTCTGAAGCTTTTGATTTGTGTTGGGTTTGTTGTGGGTTTGTATGGTTCATATCGCGCTTTATACGGCCATGCATGAGTTCTATACGGTATACGGCTTTCCACGGTTCTACAGGGTTTCTCACAGGCTGCAGAGGGACTAGCCAGGCCCTGCTTTTAACTAATGTAGGAGCCTAAACATTACCCAAGACTATTTGGGGCCTTGTGGGATCTCATTAGTTGTAATTATAGTATACTGGGCTCCAACACCCTATTCTTCTAATGAAGGCCCCTATATTAGCTTCCTTCGGCTTCGAGGGATATTGGAGTCGTCGATCTTGTGTTGCTTCGCCGGTCCCTTTTCTTAGATCGAAACCCTCCTAAACCCTAAACCCTAAACAACCCTAAACCCAGGTGATTCCTGCATGCGCCAGTGGCCTGCAAGGGCAGCGCGTCCTGATGCTCCCCGGTCCTTGGAGCGCTTTGCTTTCGGGGCTTGGGCCTGGAGTCGGAGAGGGCTTCAGAGCCTAGGGTGTGCAGTAATATAGGGGCCTAAACAATTTTGGGGGTTCCTTATTCTAGTTATAGTATAATGTAACCCAAAACCCTATTCTAATTATTGAGGCCCTACATTAGGGAGTACGGTGCTGTAGTCTACCTTTTCGGTGTTGGTTTCGGGTGGTTCAGGGTGTAGGGTTTACGCGTCTTACCTTTCAATTTCGTTCTGCTTTCCTCAGGCGAACCCCTGTACAATCTAAAACACAAGTTTCGGGTTTGATTAGTTTAGCCGTGCACGAATAGTGGCCGCAGTGAATGGGGTACCTACGTCGCATCCGCGTTTCTTCCTTGGGCGGAGGCCGTACTCAATACTCGAATTCAAGCTCAGAAGGCAACACCGCCCCATTCCAGTCGGGGTGGGTGTTGTTGTTTACCCCCTGTTCTTCTTGGAGCACCAAGCGTCTATCCTAAACCTCCAGTTAGTATGTCCAGGTTTGGAGTTTAGGGTTTGGACCCCGGGTGGCCAACCCTTGACCCGAAACCTTAAACCGAAAACAATCCTAAAGCACTAAGCCCCTAAACCCTAAACTCGACACCCTAAGGCCTAAACCCTACACGCTAATATAGGGGCCTAAATATTTAATTACCAATGCTATTTTGGGGGCTCTTATCATGGTTGTAGTATAATATATCCCAAAACCCTATTCTAAGTATTACGGCCCCCATACGCGAAACCCTTATAGTAGCCCTTATAGAACCCTTTAAGGAACCCTTTAAAGGAACCCTATACAAAAACCCTATACTAAGCCCTAAACCTTCGAATTTATTGAGAGCGGAGGCTTCTGTCGACCCTCTCCAGCCTGTCTGATCGGAGGCTTCGAAAGGAATTCAAGAGAGGCCGTAGGTTTTAGGATTGCAGGGGGGGTTTTGGGTTTGGGGTTTAGGGTTTGGGTTTTAGGATTTGGGGTTTGGGGTTTAGGGTTTAGGGTTCGGAGTTCCGTGAAATGGCTTCTTTCAAGGGATCTAGCAGGTTTCTACAAGGGTCTAGGGTTCCGGGCGTAGGGCCTGGAGAGCTTCGGGTTCAGGGTTGGGGGTGTGGGGGTCTAGGGTTCAAAGGATTTAGGATGGAGGGTTTGGGGGTTTAGGGTTCCAAGGATTTAGGGTTTAGGGTTAAGAGGATTTAGGGTCTAGGGTTCGAAGGATTTAGGATGTAGGGTTTAGAGTCTAAGAGGATTTAGGGGTTAGAGAATTTAGGGTTAAGGGTTCAGAGTTCAGGGCTCAGGGCTTAGAGGGCTCTCATTACCCAGATCTGACAAGGCCCCTTAATTACGGAATGAACTTTGAAGCACATTATGAACCCTACCCTATGACAATTGAAGGCATATTCCCTTACTGCGGGGATCTGTGACAAGATCTGGATATGAGTTGCATTTACCATCCTTGGGGGTAAAGTTTAGGGAAGTTTTAACACGTAAGACCCACAACCCCCGATGGTGGGCAGATTCCGAGGACTTACGGGTGTAGGTTTTAGAGGCCACTTGGGATCAGCTACTGGATTTGGTCTTCGCTGGGGTTCAGGTTTAGAGGATCCTATAGGGCTAGAAGCGTCCGAACCAGGGTTTAGGGTTAAACCCTACATAAACCCTGAGGGTTTTACAGGGAGATGCTCTTAAGGGCTAGCTTGGTCAGGATTTGGGTTGATATGGGTAGTCCTCTAAATTGGGGTCCCCTTTTGGGTCCCAGATATAGTACGGCACCCTTATAAAAAGGAACCCAAAAGGGACCCTAATTTAGAAAACTACCCATATGCATGGAATTCGATTCCTTGTTCTCCCGAAGGGTTCGGGAAGAAGTGGCTGCCGACGACATTCCTGACCGAATGTGTGCACGAAAAGACTCGCGGTTCTGGGTTTAAGGTTTAGGGTTTAGGGTGGGTTTAGGGTTTAGGGTTTTAAAGACGAAAAGATTCCATGCAGCGTCGTCAGGGTAAAGTGTAGGCCCGAAGCCCTCATCTACCCAGATCTTCCAATATCCCTCTATGAAGCAATGTACCTTAAATCGTTTTTCTAGAATCAAGCTAAATTTCTTTAGTAATTGAGCGATGTAGCAGGTTTTCCGGCCTTTGATGGTAGAAGCCTGAAGTACTAGCAATACCAGTCTTCAGGCTGCCTTATTGTCATTATAGAGTCTATATCTATATAGCTGCAAGCCGATTCACGTTTGTAGGCCCCATATGAAACAACACCGCTGGGTTCTGGATTGCTCATTCTGTACGGAGGGTGGCATTACGGTGCGTTGGCCGGGGGACAAACCCCGAAGCTCTAAAGGGCTACCATAGTGGCCTTAATCATGATCTATATTACTTTGGAGGTTCCGTATTGCATTTATAGTAGAATATCACCCAAAACCCCGTCCAATTATTAAGGCCCCTAAACCCTAAACCCTTGTAGTAGCCCTTATAGAACCCTGTAAGGAACCCTTTATAGGAACCACCCCAAAAAAACATTCTAATTATTAAGGCTTCTAGATTGGGTTGGAAGAATTAACGGCAGGAAGCAACAACCCTAACTTCCACACACCCGAGGCCCTAAACCCCAAGCCAAACCTATAAACCCTAATATAGTACTTTCTCTTACAGTACCCTTATGGTATTAGAGTACCCCTAAACCCTGCGAAACCCTGCGAAGAGCGGAAGAAGAGCAGAAAACCCTAAACCCTAAAACCCTAAACCCTAAACCGCAAACCCTAAACCCCAAACCCTAAACCCAAACCCCTAAACCCTAAACCCTAAACCCTCAACCCTAAACCCCAACCAACCGCCTCTTTAGGCCGGGCTCTCTGCAGATGCCATTGTGGGATTCCCTGGGGAGCCGGGTGCTCAGAAGGTTTAAGGGTTTAGGGGTTTAGGGTTAAGGGTTTGGGGTTTAGGGTTTAGGGTTAAGGGTTTAGGGGTTTAGGCTTTAGGGTTGAGGGTTTAAGGGTTTATGGTTTTCGGGGTTTAAGGGTTAAGGGTTTAGGGTTTAGGGGAAAGACCCTGAGGCCTCACGGTTCAACAGTCTACAAGAGCGGTATAGGGTTTAGGGATTAGAGTGCATTAACATTAGGGTGTGTCACAGTAGGATTTAGAAGTGTTGTGTGGTGTCTTGGGGTGGGTTTTCTGGCACTGGTGATCGTTCTTCGAAGCAGGATCGTAGAGTGTTTGTACAGGGCCTTTTGTATCACAGTTCAGGTAGGTTTCCACGAAGTTCAGGGCGCCTTTGTGAGGTCCTTGCAACATGGGTCCTATGATTGATGACCTGCCGTTCGGTTGCTTTCCTAGAGACTACCACACCTTAGTGAAGAAATATTCCTTAAGCCATAATATGAAGTCGTAGACGTAGTGTTTGGGTCTTGGGCTCCCTTCAGAAATAATCCTCAAGCCAGAACATGGTAGGTCAGGTTTGGGTATTGGGCTCCCTTGCTGGTCCGGTAACGCCCCGTGCAAACCTACAAAAACCGTACAAGACCCTTGACATACCCGTCCAAAACCCCTACACAATTGCCCTGCAAAACCCTGCAAACCGTATAGCATAACACCCTGGAGTGCCTAACCCTAGGCTTCCAAGGACCTTATAGTTGGGGCCCTAAACCCCTTAAGGACCTAACAATAAGGTCCCTGGAAGCCTTAGGTAATTTGTGTTTGGCAGACTCGACATGGTAACCCCTGAGTGGCAGGCATAACAACTTGGCTCGAAGCTTCACGTCACCAATGGGTTTAATGTAGGGGCCTTGATAATTACCTGTGCAATTCTGGGCGTTCCTTATTATAATCATAGTATATTTGACCCTAAACCCTAATTATTACGGCCCCTATATTACACATAATAGTCAAGCCGGGTGAGGGTGTGGCGCCGTTTAGGATTTAAGATTTCGGGTCAAGCTGATCTGGCATCTGGGGTTTAAGTATTTGGGGGCTTAGGCCTAAACCCTAAACCCTAAACCCTAAACCGGTGGTTATTCACGCCATGACTTGGGAGTTTCCGAAATCAAGGGGTACCTTATTCTGGGGTCCTTCTAATGGGGATCCTACTATTTAGGGTACTATATGGGTGGTTGTCAAAAGTATGGTCCCTTTTTGGGTCCGTAATATAATGCGGCACCTAATATTTAGGGTACCCCAAAAAAGGACCCTAATTTTGACAACCACCCATATTAGGGTCCCCTATTTTGGGAAACCCCCTCTTTTAGTCCTTCAAAGGCGAGACATGAGGGATCTTCGCCCCGACGTCCTAAACCCTAAACCCTAAACCCTAAACCCTAAACCCTAAACCCTAAACCCTGAACCTGAGGACGGAAGAGCAATTCCAGCGAACGGTGGAGCTGGTGGAGGACTCAGGGGCTGAGTAGGGTTTAGGGTTTAGGGTTTAGGGTTCAGGGTTTAGGGTTTAGGGTTTAGGGTTTAGGGTTTAGGGTTCAGGGTTTAACCCTTTTGGGGCTTGTATGATCCTACTATAATTCGAAAGGTTAACCTTTTTGGGCTAGGGTACTCAGCCCCTAAGAGGACGTTGCTGATGAGCACGAAGTTTACCCTAGGCTTCCAGGGACCTTATTATTGGGTCCTTTAGGGGTCTACGGCCCTAACTATAAGGTCCTTGGAAGCCTAGGGTTACACAAAAGAGACCCCTGTAGCCTCCAAGCTATTTGCTATCACGCTCATGACGTCGACATCATGGTGGCATTGACGACGGTATTAACGACATCGATGAGCAGTACGAAGAACACTTTTTGCACATGACGACAATGCGGTAAAGTAGCGATAAAGAATGGTAGAGTTATTGTACTAGCACCGCAACTCAGCTGACAACTGTGGTGTTTGTTGTGCATCTGTGGTAATAGCGCTCATTCTTGGTTCTACACTGTTAGTGGTGGCTGTCGTAATGATGATCGTGACTGTAGTGACCAGAGTTATGATGGTAAGGATCACGCTGATCTGATGACTTTCGCGAATGTCAATGCAACTGTGTCAACGCTACTTGTAGAGCTGACAGTGTGAGCTTGCAGCAGTAGGGGGGCAGTGTATGGGATTCCGGAAACAAGTTCAATCTATGTTTAAAGCTAAGGGCATGGCCAGGCTTGACCAGCGCAGGGGCAGATACCGAGGGAGCGGTATGCAAACAAGAGTGAGCCGAAACCCGCATTTACTGAGTATGCTTTGCAACACCATTTCGGTTGATGTAGAGCATGTTTCAATTCTCATTGTTGCCGCTATGTTTTTATTGGGCTGTTTGAAGCAACGCTGTCGAGAGGAAGTTGGCTTCCTGACCGTGAACCTGGCCGCCTACTCACCAAGGCTTGCTCATTCAACTATAGTAATACATGCGAATGCCATTTTTATTTGGGGGTCCGTTATTGTGTATAACATACCCCAAAACTCATTCAACTAGTAATACATACGAATGCTATTGTGAGGTCCGTTATCACAGGTAGAAGTATAACATACCCCAAAACCCATTCAACCAGTTATACATACGAATGCTATTTTGGGGTCCGTTATTATAGGTAAAAGTATAACATACCCCAAAACCCTGTTGTACTAATTGAGGCTAAACCCTATAAACCCTAAACCCCAAACCCGAAAACTTAAACCCTAAACCCTTAAACCTTAAACCCCAAACCCCAAACCCCAAAACCTTGTTGTACTAGTTGAGGCCTTTTTTTGTTTGGGCTTTAGGCGTCGGAGAGGAAGCCCGGAGAGCCCAACCTACCCCCTTAATTGAGGAATAGACCTTAAATTGGGTTTAGGGTTTAGGGTTTAGGGTTTAGGGTTTAGGGACCATTATATGAAGGCCCCTATAATTTAAGGTATACTGCTCATTTAAGAAGGGGTATGGTATATTATATCCTAAACCCTAAACCCTTAATTAAGGAATATAGACCTTAAGTCATAATATGAAGGCCCCGATAATTTTAAGGTATGTTATATCCTAAACCCTAAGCCCTAAACCTTACTTAGGGGTAAGTTGGGCTCTCTGGGAAGGATCCCTTATGCAAGGCGATTTGTTGGGGGGCCTGCAATCTCCCAGTCGCAAGCCCTGCATCTGGGGTCTTCATGCCGCCAACAGACCTTTCGGGTTTAGGGTTTAGGGTTTTAGGGCTCAGGGTTTAGGGCTTAGGGTTTCAGGTTATAGGGTTTAGGGTTTTAGGGTTTAGGGTTTAGGGTTTAGGGTTTTAGTCTTGGGATTTGGGGACGGCCTTTCAGCGGTATTTGACGCGTGCTAGTAGGCCCCAGCCGTTGCACGCCTCGATACCGAAGACATCGTTTCAGGCCGAACACGCTGGCGGCGACGTGGCCGGACCAAGTTCCTGAGGACATGAATTTTGGGTTACTTGCTCCTCTACAGGTGTTGAGAGCTTGCTTGTTAGTGGCCTAAACCCTAAACCCCTAAACCCTAAGTGGTGTTCCCTTGTTACTTAGGCTTCGCAGACAAGTAGGCGCTTGAGGGTTTGCAGGCTTCGTGTGGTTCAGCATCCCGGCAATGCAGACAAGTAGGCGCTTGAGGGTTTGCAGGCTTCGTGTGGTTCAGCATCTCGGCGATGGCAGACATTCCATGGCCAAAAACCTGCGCACGAAGCCCTGCTTCCCCAGCACCCATCTAGAATCCCAAAACACGATACCCAAAACGGTTCCAGGTGCAGTGAATCTCACCCGAAGGGGTCGACCTATACCACAATTATGGAATTAGGGCCCCAAATCCCTAGTAGGGATGGTCTTTTTGGACCGAATTCCGTAATGGTAGTAGATATATGAACCCTCTGGGGACAGGATGTCAAGAAAGATCGCCTTCAACGGCTTGGCGATGTCGTGCTCCAGCAGCCTTCAACTGGGTAGTTGTCAAAATTATGGTCCCTTTTGGGGTGCCTTAAATAATAGGTGCCGTATTATAATAAGGACCCAAAAAAGGGCCATAATTTTGACAACCATCCAACTATACAAGCCCTATAGACTTACAGTGCCTGTAGGCAACTGGGACCTTAGGGAAACATACGGTGGTTCTCTCACTTCAGGTCCGCATTCGTTCCCTAGTTAAGTGATGTGCTCTCATGGGGATTCCAAAATGACGCTGATTTCGACACGTTACTTATGTGCTGAGTTTTCGACTGAAACCCTTGTAACCGGGAGTAAGGGTTGGACAGCTAGTGAGAGCCAGCCGAGTTGAGGGCCTGGGGCTCGAGCTCCTTGTATTAGTGGGGTTTAGGGTTTCAGGGTTACTCCGCGCCTGCGCCTTTTACAGCCCTGTCGATCAAATCAAAGGGTTCACAAGGCTTGATGACTGAACCCGAGTCGCAGCTGGTACTTTTTCAAGACCCGTCCCCGCCTGGCCTCTAAGTCTCACGGCATAAGGTGTAGGACATGCCCCCTTTGCTGGCGTGTCTCCCCACTGGGGACTGTAGACGACAGCCCGTTGTTAAAAAAGTTGTAAGTTCATTGTAAAACAAGCCTTATCAAGCCGCCATCAAGCCGCTCCTAAATCCGTACCGGAAGCCTTGCCATGTCCTTTAAAGCCAGATCGCACCTATAAATTATAAACCTGACAGGACCGTACAGCTCCTGGAAAATCCCTAAACCTTCTTACCAAGAACTTCCCTACTGTACAAACTTCTCACCTCCTTGAGATGGACCTGAGCCCATGCAAAGGCCGACACAACCTTGCAGACCCTGTACAACACCTTCCTGCTTAACCCCATGGATAAACCCTTATAACACACAACACCTTCCTGCTTAACCCCATGGATAAACCCTCATAACACCCTACCCGTAGACTATCGCTATAAAGCCTCCCTTCAAAAGGGACTTCGTTAGAGCCCTTCTGCAACCCTACAATTAAGACCTTTGAAGAAGGATCCTTGGCAGACCCCCGATAAAGCCAACCCAATATGAATCTCATAGAAACCGTCCTGAAAAGTCGCAAAACAACCCTGTAAACCCTTTCAAAGGAACCCATCGGAATATCCCAAACCCTAAACCCTAAACCCTAAACCCTAAACCCTAAATATCCGCAAAGGTGCTTCGCACATCGCTGGCTCAGAGTCAGCGCCTGCTGGGCGAGGCACGGAAGCGTCGGTAGCGGCATGGCGAGGCTTTCGGGTGGGCCCTGCCAGGGCTTGGGCTTCTAGCAAAACTTCTTTTAAGGGGGAGGGTTTAGGGTTTAGGGTTTAGGGTTTAGGGTTTAGGGTTTAGGGGTTTAGGGTTTAGGGTTTAGGGTTTTGGGGAGGCTTTCGGGTGGGCCCTGCCAGGGCTTCTAGCAAAACTTCTTTAAGGGGGTGTTAGGGTTAAGGGTTTAGGGTTTAGGGTTTAGGGCGTTTTATGCGCTTCTTTTAGGGTTCTATATGGGGTCTTCATTCCGTAAGGTTCTGTATGGGGGTTTCCCCAAGCTTTAGAAGGAATCACCCAATACCTTTGTCGAATTTAAGCCTGCATAAGAAAGCTCGATCATAAGATCCAGACGCCTCAAGCCCTGAACCCCAAACCACAACAAATGCAAGACTCTAGTCTTGCAACCTAGATAACTAGCACCACTATTCCTTAGGGTTACAATGTATTTTGCTCATATACCCCAAAATCCCAAAATCCTAATCTGATTATTAAGGCCACCACATTGATCCCAACCGCCCTGAGCCCATGACCATAAACCTTCAACCCTAAACCTTAAACCCTAAACCCTAAACACTAAACCCTAAACCCTAAACCTTCAACCCGAAACCCTAAACCCTCAACGTTGGAGCCGTCAACAAAAGGTCCACGAACTGCTGGTGGAAGCCCCGCAACCTGGCACGTGTGCGCCAACAAGCGTTATTTTGTAGTTACTATAGAGGGTTGAGGGTTTAGGGTTTAGGGTTTAGGGCGTTTTTTGGAGTTACTGTAGAAGCCGAAATAATGAGTAATAGTGCTAATTACTCAGTCTTCCTTATTAGAGTTACACAGAAAACCCTCTTCTAATTATTATCGTTATTATAATTATTATTATTACTCAGTGCTCCTTATAGTTATACCATGTTATACTGAAAACCCCTATTCTGATTATTGTTGCTCCGCTTTCCTTCTTCTGGTTATACGGTATACGGCCAAAAACCCCTATTCTAATTATCGGTCAGGCCCGTGCTTCAGGCTTTGGGGCTTGGAGTTTTCGTGTTGGGTCTAGGATTGAGGGTTGAAGGTTTAGGGTTTAAGGTTTAGGGTTTAAGGTTTAGGGTTTAAGGTTTAGGGTTTTGCGTTTTGGGTTTAGGCTTGGGGGTTCCAGGGGTTGGGAGCCCTCATTGGGTTTACGGCAGGACGCAGGGGTTCATAAAGGTGCTGTAGTTTTGGTGCCGCTATTGGTCGCTGTAGCGGTTGATAAGGCTCTACTCTCTTAACCTGCAATTCACGAAGACGTGTTTCCGGCTAAGGGTTTGAGCTCAAGGTTTTAGATGTTGCTGGGGTCATGCTTCGCCCCACTTCACCTTGTGCTGGCAAGACGCCGCGTACAGGGCCTGCTGCAAAAACTAGGTCATGGTACTTAGAGGGTCCATATATACCATCATGGAATGAGGTCCCCATAACCTTACATAATGAGGTTGTTTAGGACCTATAACTCCAAAATAGTAATGCACATGGACCCTTTGGGGTAGTCTAGAGTCGGCTTTCAGGTTGCATAACCCAAGGTCTAGACTGTCGAGGATTCAGGGCTTTGGCGTTTAAGTTTTAGGGTTTAGGGTTTAAGGTTTAGGGTTTAGGGTTTAAGGTTTACCGTTTAGGGTTTAGGGTTGGAGGTTTGGGCTCTACGGTTTTAGGGTGTCTAGGTTCTTTTTTCTTATACAAATAGGCGCAGTCTTTTGTCGGGCCTTTGCAGGCGGAGTCCCACGCGCATGTCTGCGTCTGCATCCGTCTCTGTGTCACTGCGTGTCTGTGTGTATAAATTCGTACAGGTCAGGGTTGACGGGCGTTGGCGGGACGGGGACTCAGGTGTGCCCAGGGAGCCCAAAAACCCCGGTCAACGAACTTAAGCCTCGGCTGGTTTCGATTAAATTTCTCCTCTGTGTGTGTGCGCTTACTTATCGTCTTGGCTTTGTTGATGACTTGGACATGTTGAATCTTAGTGATGGCTTCTTGAATTTATGACAATGTGAAAGTCTACACACTGCAGCCTTAACTTAAGCCTTCAAACTCTGTGTGTGTATATATATATATATGTGCATACACATGGTGTGTATATATATATATTACTGTAGATGTTGCCGGAGCCTTGTCCACGGAGTTGTTCAAACACAAAGTGTCAAGCAGCATTGCCTGAGAAAAAGGTTGTCGATGTCGAGAATGTGACTGGCTATCGCAAGGTGCTTTTATTAGTGCTCACAGGCTAGTGCTGGTCGACGAAGATCAAAATATTTACACATAAACCTCCGTAAATGCACACCTGTGGTCCAAGGCACCCCAGGCGCTCAGGAGAGGTTCGCGGGCGACTGCGCCCCTGTGCCGCAGGAATGTTGCAATTCGGTTCGGCGGAAAACCTCTCTTTTTGTGGGCCCTAAACCCTAAACCCTGGACCCTGAACCTCGGTTTCAGTGGGCTCTTTCATTGTAGTACTAAGTCCCTGAACTAAAAACCAGAAGAGCTGCTTTGAAAGGCCCTGGTGCATCCTTCAGGCCCATAAACTTCAGAGCAAAGCAATACTAAACCCCGAGAGAAGCCGGTGAAATACGTTTTACAACATCCTTAAAAAGCCCATCAAGCATCCCGACAAAATCCTGTAGTTTTTTGTGAGACTTCCATACTGCCCTGAGAGCTTAGCAGCTTTGCTGCCTCCTCTGGCCGCGGCTGTGCAGGCAACGGCCGCCTCTGTGCCGTCCCTGGCCGCGCGGAGGAGTTGCGGAACACACGATATGAGTTGTCGTAGTAATTAATGCAAGGTATTGTGGCATTTTATTTTATAGAAGTAGTATGAATATTATGGTCGGCAAGGGGAGAGGGTAATTACCCGTTTCTCCGACCGATGTATTAGGGTGTTGATGTTTCTTAGGTTTCTTCTTCTCACATGATGTGGTCTTTTGAAGCCATAACCTGCTGGAATATTTCCCAGGAACATTGGGGCTTAGGGGTTTAGGGTTTAGGGTAGCCGTAGTCTTGAATGTAACCGAACAAGCGAAGCTTGGGTTGATCATGGCCCAACCACACCGATGCTAACTCAAGTCCCAAACCCTAACCTAAACCCTAAACCCTAAACCCTGCACCCTAAACCCTAAACCCTAAACCCAAACCCTAAATCCCGAAACCTCCGAAGCCAAGCCCGGCCCTACTTCCTAACCCTAAACCCTAATCAAACCCTAACCCTCATATCCCTAGACGCAAAAATGCTGCAAGCCTAGCCCTAGATCCCCACCCGCCCACACCTGCCATCCTAAACATGGCGGTCCCCCGCGCGGCCGCAACAATTCTGGTCCTGGCGGAAGCTCCGGGTGAGGCCCAGGGGGGGGGGGTTGTCCCAAAAAGGCCCACTATATGGTTTAGGGTTTAGGGGCTAGTTACGGGTTTAGGTTTTAGCTTTGGTTCAGGACCCAGCTATATCTTGACAAGTAAGTATTTTCCGTACTTCTGAGAAAGGCTGGTGGAGTCGCTGTGTTTGTCTAAGCTTCCCGCAATCCCCAGAGAGCCCAATGCCCCTCAAATAAGGAATATACCTTAAGTTATGGGGGCTCTAGTATTATGATGTAAGGTATATTCCTTAATTGAGGGGTATTGGGCTCTCTGGGTAGAATTCGCAAGTGAGGACATATTCTGAGGCTGCAGTAGTTCAGATGTTGAGCTTGATGATCAACAAATCCCTCATTGTCTGGCTTGCTAGGAGTTGGCAGCCGTCTTGTCGACGTTTTGACTCTGCGAACACGGGAGTTTCAGAAAAATAATGAGCCTAGCTAGTTTCGACTATTTTCGACCCTGGTGGAAGCATGCTTGCTACGAAGAGCCTAGTTGTAAGAACTCCCTGCAGCCTCGTCTGATTCCCTTACAAAACCAGTTTCGAGAAACCTTACACAGGAACCCTCAGTTGGTGAAACATTCATGTATCCGTACCCCTTCATGCAAGAGCATAATCCTGAAGTCACATCGATTCGGAGCTTCTGCGACATACTGTGTTTCAAGGCGCACTCCGTAATGAAGCGATGTTGGGATGTTTGCGCCACTGTTGCCAGGCGCTGAAGGTTCTGATGATCAAACGCCACTCGAGAGCTCGGTTCATGGCCAACACCTACGTCTTCCCAGGACGCGGCGCTGTCGATTCCTTATAAAGCTCTAAAACGTAAAGGCCGAATGACAGGTAATGACAGGTAACAAAGCACGTGCCTCGACATCTTGCGGCTTGATCCCATGACATATGAGCCATAAGCTCTTCCAGGGTTCTTTTTGTCAACTTAGTGCTAAGGCCAAGGGCTTTTGTTCAAAGGCTATCGAGGCCTAGTTTTGGCCGGTTTATCACGTAAGGCTTCGACAGTCGCCCTGATTCATAAGCCCCTTCATTACCTAAGGGCGTTTACGATACATACTGTAAGCGTCATAAAAGGATTGGAGTCTCCTCATCGGGGAGCTACTGTAGTCCTGAAACCAGAAGGGTGCGCGCCGCACCTTTTAGCAACGAAATATGTGAATCCAAGGGTGCGGGGTGTTGATCTTATTTCAAGTATGAGAGGACGTGCTAGTTCTTGACCAACTGAAGGATGTCAATAGGATAGCTAGTGATAATCTTGTTGATGCAATGCTAAACCTCCCAAACACATACTCTGAACCCAAGCCCCTGAATGCAATACTTAAAACTTAAATCCTTTGTACAAGCCTCCAAGCCGACCAGACTATATTTATACCCCCGAACACTGCTCTATGTAACTAGCAAGGCTCCTATATATAGTTACCCTTATATTAGTAACCCCTATAAAGCCCTTCATCTATGCCTTTCAGGAGGTTGCGTGGACGATGCCGATCTGGAGCATGCCTCAAAGCTCCACTCGGCAGAGACTTTGGCCGAGTACCGCGTAGCTGCCCTTCGCGAGCTATGGGAAGACGCTCCGTCAGATTTGGAGTGTCTGTTGGTCGAGGGGAGCTCCAAGGTGAAAGGTTGAAGTTGTTTGCCCGCACCCTTTCCCTTACCCTCAAAGAACTCATATTTTAAGGCTTTTGGGTCCAAAGGCCCTATTATAACAGGCTTCTGGGCTATTTTGATGCTAATTGTCTTCACTGCATCTATGCTTTTCAGCTGAAGCCTCCAGCACCGTCCAGGAGACTGGGGTCCACTTTGACTCTGATGGAAATGCGGGCGTGGGGTCCGCCTCGCCGGCCTTAGGCACAGGGGGAGAAGCAGTGACTCTTGTAATATAGGGGCCTTGATAATTAGAAAAGGGTGTTGGGGCCCACTATACTATAAGTATAATCAGGAACCCCCCCCAAAATATCATAGGTAAATATTTAGGCTCCTACATTAAGAAACACCTTTTGTCTCCAGGGGCTGTTGCCTGATGTCATATCTATCGACTACCTGTCTCTATTATCTGTCTCTCCCTCGCTCTGACTCTTGTAGGAAACACCTTTTGTTTGCAAAGGGCTGGTGCCTCATGTCCTACCCATCTATTACCTGTCTCTATCTGTCTCTCCCTCTCTCTCTCTCTCTCGCTGTCTCCCTCCCTCTCCTCCTTTTCTAAACTTATATATACATACAAGAACATATATATATATATGTGAGAAATATATATATATATATATATATGTGTGTGTGTGTAGGTGGTATATTAATATAGCTTGATATTTATATGGTACTTATATCTTTCCGTAAAGGTATGTTATTTGCTTTTTCATTTTAAGTGCTACTACTACGACCACTACCACTA